AATGGCTGCATTCAGATGGCATGCACATTGTTTTAAAGAAGTTTTTTTTTTTTGGTTTAACATACCAGGTAGGTAGTCATTTAAAGACGACCTAGAGCCCGTGCTGGTTTGCTCAGTGGATAGAGTGTTGGCCTGGGGACTGAAGAGTCCCAGGTTTGATTCCAGTCAAGGGCACATGCCCAGGTTGTGGGCTCCATCCCCAGTGGGGTCCGTGCAGGAGGCAGCCAGTCCATGATTCTCTCTCATCATCACTGATGTTTCTATCTCTCTCTCCCTTCCTCTCAAAAATCAATAAAAAATATATTTTTTTTATAAGAGAGCCCACGGCCTCGAGAACTGTCATGTGTCCACTGCAGACACTCTCTCTTGTGACCCCTTTGTGCTCAATCCCTTCTAGGGCAGTATGAAGGTGACATTTGAATTATGTTTTTTTTCTCCCCTTTTTTCTTTTTCTTTTGCTTCTCTGAAATGCCAAAAGGCAGATGTCTGACATTTCTTTAGGACCCAATTCAGCTTTCCTTCCTAATTGGGGAAGAGATTGCCTCAGTCCAGGTCATTGAGTTGGGAGTTGTTTTTAATTTTTTTTTCAGAGAGGAATGGAGAGGGAGAGAGTTAGAAGCATCCATTGTGAGGATCATGGATCGGCCTACTCCTGCACGTCCCTCACTGGGGATCAAGCCCACAACGTGGGCATGTCCCCTTGACCGGTAATTGAACCCAGGACCCGTCAGTTCGCAGGCCAACACTCTATACACTGAGCCAAACTAGCTAGGGCCAATTTGATCTTTTTAAAGGGTGCAAATGCCTTGAAGAAGAACGAAGCATCTCAGCATTCATGTCACAGTGGAAATTACAACTCACCTCACCATTCTTTCCAAATTGCTCCTGTAAATGCAGACTCTGACTAATAATGAAGCTTGTAGGTAAACAGCATGTTTGTATAAGATTCCTAGCAACTAATTTTAGAAGACATGAACTCTGACCTTCCCAGTTCTGCGAGATTTGCTGACCTTCAACCTTAGAACCAGGAGGACAAAATCTCGGATGACGCACACTGGACCGACACCTGACCACTTGCAACATCCTTATCAGATTGGACTGTGCCTGTTGTCACGTAGAGAACTTATCAAGTCCCGCCCCCTGACCTCTTTGCTCTGTTTAGCCTCTACCTCCTTATAAAAGCCTCTGCCTGCACTGAGATGTGCAGATGGGATTTGGAGACGAGCTTCCCCCTTCTTCTCAGGTTGACAGCACCTGAATAAACCTCTTTCCTTCCTCACCATCACATGTCTCACGGGATTGGTTTCTGGAGTGTGAGTCACGGGAACCTTGTTTTTTCTGGACACATTCCTGGTACATTTACTCCCTGGAACCTGTGTACATGGCCATGTTCTTTCTTCTGCAGGTGACAGGGGGAAGCAGAGACCAGTCACAGGGGAATGGTGCGAAGAAAAGTGCTTTGCCTCCAGAGCAAGAAGAACAGGCAAGAAAAAGGTGGATGGGAGGAGGAAGAGGAAGGATTGGGAATGGCGTCTGACCTGAGGGCGGAATTTGGACTTTGTGGACTGAAGTGAGTTTGGCAACAAAACCATACTGTTCATGCCAAGAGCATGGCTGAGATTTGGGGAAGGGAGAGATCATTCTAAAAGTGATGTCATGAGACCTCAGGAATCCTACTTGTGTTTCACCTGTCTCTTTGCTTCCTGTTTGTCTGATCAGCTATCCCTGGTATCTGTCTGTCCCTGAATATTTTGGTCTTGCCTCTCTCACCAGCACTTGAGAAGCAAGACTGCTGTTAAGAAGCCCACCTGGACGCTGACTTTAGCTTTGTTCTTATGCCAGCTGTTAAAGGTAAAGCATGTTATTTGCATGGGGTGGGTTGTTCTATGGTTTGTGAGTTTCCTCTGAGATGATCAGAAAGAAGGTGGTGTTGTCAGGACAAAAAGAAAAGTTGAACCAACTACAAAGTTTTAATTAAGAACAAAGAAAAGACAAGAAATGAAATGAAATGAAAAGAGCTTGGCTCGCATGGCTCAGTTGTTTAACTTAAACCTAGGAACCAGGAGATGTCGATTCGATTCCCAGTCACGGCACATGCCCGGGTTACAGTCTTGATCCCCAGTAGGGCCATGTCGGAGACAACCAATCCGTGATTCTCTGTCATCATTGATCTTTCTCTTTCTCTCCCTCTCTGTTCCTCTCTGAAATCCGTAAAACTATATGAAAAAAAAATGAAGGAATAGTCATGGCACAGTAAAGTAGAGCATTGAGTCAATCCGATATAATAAAAGGCTATTATGCAAATCGACAAAACGGCAGAACGACTCCTCGCTATGACACACACTGACCACCGGGGGCAGATGCTCATGACAGGAGCTGTCCACCAGTGGTCAATGCGCTGCCACAGGGAGAGTGCCACTCAGCCAAAAGCCAGGCTCACAGCTGCAGAGCACAGGGGTTGGTGGGAGCCTCTACAGCAGTACTAAAGTGGGCCTAAGCTGTCAGTTGTACATCCCTCAAGGGGTCCCAGACTGCAAGAGGCTGCAGGGCTGACTGAGGGACCCCACCCAAGTGCATGAATTTTTTGCACCGAGCCTCTAGTAATATTACAATAACTATGTGGTTTCAGATGGGTATGAGATTAATTGCATGATTTCATGGTCCACTATATAAAGTCTAATCATTGGGGTGTATCCCTGAAATGAACCTAAGGTTGTATGTCAACTGTCATTTAAAAAAAGTTTTGCCGTAACCGGTTTGGCTCAGTGGATAGAGCGTCGGCCTGCGGACTCAAGGGTCCCAGGTTCGATTCCGGTCTAGGGCATGTACCTTGGTTGCGGGCACATCAGATGGGTATGAGATTAATTGCATGATTTCTTGGTCCATTATATAAAGTCTAATCATTGGGGTGTACCCCTGAAATTAACCTAAGGTTGTATGTCAACTGTCATTTAAAAAATGTTTTAAAAATTCTATAGGACCATGTTACCTTCACAGAGTCACATTTTACTTCAAGTATGTTTCATACAGTTTGTTCTAGAAGAAAGATCTAAAGCTAAAAAAGAATGAAAAGTTGAGATTTATAAATTTGCATAATAAACCAAAGGCAACCACAAACACAACCTTAAAAACCATAAAGATAAAAGCCGAGAATGCGTTTGGTTGGAGACCCCATCCCCTGTCTTTCGATGCCAGGACCAAAGTAGCGAGAGGCACTGAGAAGCTGTGACTGTTGCTCCTTGGACGACGGAGGGGTCATGGCCGAGCTCCCATCAAAGGTGCACCTCACATTGCACCCCATCTACCTGAGGATCCGTGGGCACTCG